GTTCAACGGGTTCAACGGATTGCGCGCAGGGTCACGCAATTGGGTTCAACGGTTGGATCCAGCGAGTCTCCCCGGGTGAGTCAGATCCTGAGGGTGCCCCTTCAGAACCTGCTCCGCTACCAGTTTGAATCTCGCACGGTTCCTTTTCGCAGCAGCGAATCGACTCAAGGGCCCTATTTAGCCGAGACAGCAGCGGCGGTGCATCAACTGTACGAAATACACCCTGGCTACAATCGGTAAAATTCACACAATATATTATGTTATATATTACTATTAGCATAGTAGCATATTTGGTGGTGGGGCATTGACCCAGTGCTGGCTGAGGACTTTCAAGATGTTCAAGTGTTCAAGTGGCTGTTTTCTATCCTGCTGAGGGAGTCGGGAGGCACTTCTGAATGTTGGCCACGAGTGATGGGCGCAAACTTTGCCATCCCTCACCCTCTAGTCGGCTGCGATTGCTCTCGGCCTGCGGACTCCATAGCATCTAGTGCTTGTAGGACCTGCACTCTTGGGGTGAAGTGAAGTGGCAAACAGAAGCCAAGCACTTCTGGGCTTCCCGCCACGAAAATCAATAATATTTTGGCCAGTGGCTAGGTACGAATTCTCTCAACTAGCAGCTCAACCTTTCGAGGTGCTGGGATCAAACCAGAACTCGTGAACACTGGGTCTGAAGGGGTTGGCCTCTGGTACCTGCATCCATTCTCCACGATATTCCACTATGCACCTGCCTCTGACAACATGCCACAGGAGCCACACCTGCTGAGCCTCGAGCCCCACAACAATTTTGCAAGAAGTATGGATTCTGACTCTTGCAAAATGTGGGTCAAACCGTGCACTACCTTAATCTGAGGTTGCTGCAGTTTACTATCTGGGAATTCTCCTTTTCCGCGGAGCTGCTGCAGCTGTTGGCGGAGTCGCTTGTGCTCCTGCGGAAAGCGCAAGTGGTTGCGCAACTGGTTGCACAGGCTGTGACAGGCATGTACACCCAAACTTGCGCATGGGAAAAACATTTCAGCGAGTGGGTGGATGCACCGGTGGCTGTGCAAGTTCTGAACAAAAGCATGTGGCAAACATACAAATTTTTGAAGATCCGAGTGCATGCGTCCAGCGTACTTCTGCTGCGCTTGCAAATGCCTAAAGCTTTCAGCGACAACTACCACGCCAGGATGTCAACCCTGCTTGTTCGAGCGCACCCTCTTTGAGCAAACGTTTTTGCGGCGGGGCATCCAGAGCAAGAGAAAGAAAATGTCATGTTTGGCCGTTGCCGCACAGTTGCACAGCTCATCAATGAAGGAACGACTTCGATTCACTTCGATGATCTTCGAAGGATCGTATCCACAGCTCAGGAGCGATGATGGTAAACATTCTGCCATGGCCATGACATGTTACGTCAATATCCTGCCCCACCCTTACCCTCACCCCATCAACTCCCCTGCTTAGTGAAGCACCTCCTCGCGAAAATATCCTCTCTCCCCATTGCAAAACAAGGTTCGTGAAAAATATCATATGAGTCATACGGTCTTCATCGCTACCTGCTCGGAGGTCCCTGTTGCGAGGTCCTCTCGCTCCACCAGGCTCAATCTTGCGCCCTCCCCTAACTCGTTCCGATGGACCATCAAGGCGAGACATTCTTTTGAGCGGAGACTGGCAAAGAGTGTACAGGAGGCTTCTTTGTTACTGTAGCTCTCATGTTCATGTTCATGTTCATGTCACACACCGCCATCCACGAAGCAAGAGAAGCAGACTCCAATCGGCTCCTTGCTGTAGCTCCGGCCCTTTAGCCTGAACTCCGTCTCTTTGTACGGAGAAACACCTTAGCAGCTCCATTGCAGTCACACCACCTCTATGACTCTAAGACTCCAGTACATGCACCCTCTCCCGGTCAACGACTAGCTGCTTCCAAACATCTCCAGCCATGCCAAACCAGAACGCCGGCCTTGGATATCGCAAACAGCCGCAAAAACGGCTGGGCACTCCGTGGACGCCCCAGCTTTAAACCCAAAGGTGCCATCAACTGTTCGGCCTATGGGCTAGGCTAGGTCCATGAAGTTCCTGCAAGCCCCCTTCAAGGCAGAACGTTTCTATAAAATCAAAGCTCGGCAGCTGGAAGGGCTGGCTAAACATTGCAAGTGTCCTGTGGCAGTTGTGATAGCTACTTTGCGAGGATTGTGCTGTCTTGGCATGTCTATGTATGCCCATTCAACACATGGAAACCACTGATAAAAAGAGCACAGGTTGATTCTCATTGCTGGCAGCAAGCTTGATGAGGTAGGAGTGCTGCGAGCATGCCAGCACTACCCATCCTCCCAGGTGAAATTTCTATGCCTCTAGTGACTCTAGTGTCCATACCATACAATGTATAGTGACCCAATCTGCAACCAAAAGGCTAGATCCACTTGGCCTCAGCAACCCCAAGACTGTGTTCCGCAGTTCTGCTGTAGCCGCTCGCATAACTGTCACAGGTCTGCAATAGATCAAGGGCCAAACATTGCAGCCTTGGCAGCCTCCGAGCAAAACATAATCATAACGCTGCCTTGAAAATGTTATACTCTCCGCCCCGAATGCATTCTTTGTTTGTGCTTGAGGCTCAAGGCGTGCCGTGCATATTTCAATCTTTCGCCTTTATATATATATATATATACAAATATATAAATGGAGTCCAACTAAGGACATGTTCAATTGAAGCCTTGCTCTCGAATTGGTTTGCCGGGCGCTTCAGTGATGACGGGCTACTGCACACGAAGTTACCTACACGGGGCGCACCTTAAGGCATATTCCTGAGCAGCTTCTGAGCAGAAGAGGCCTTAGATACCACAAATCCCCTGGAGAACGGTTTCCGAAGCAAAAAGCTTGTGCAAAAGCTTTAAATTTTGTGGATATTGAGAGTTCGCAGCGGGGGTATGCTTGGGAGTCTGTTCGGAATCTGTTCGCACTTGGCTGAGAGGATCCCCAGTGTTGCTTAACAGTTGTCTAGCAGGGCATACATAAATGTTGCAAAATGTCGCTTTGACTGATAACTCCAACAGCGCCACTTGTTGCTGCAAAGTGGTTTCCATCTTTACCTTTAAAAGGAATGTCATGTAATGTAATGTAGTGTAATGTCGGGTCCTAATTAGTCAAGTGGGACGGAATAATAAAAAGTTGTCCCAAAATTATTCAGACCCCTGAATAGTTTTAGGGGGACGGAATAAGAAAAAGTTTTTTGCCCAGTGTGTTATTTTTAGATTTGTCTTGTCTATTGAGTCTATTGATTTAATTAGACCACCACCACCACAAACCACTTGTCAAGAGCAACTTTCTATTGTTCTGCTATTGCTGGCCTTTCAAACCTTTAAGAAACTCTTCTGAGGTTTGCTTGAATCATGGAACTCTGACCGTCTCATTTTTGGCCGTCTCATTCTATTGAGACCCCCTCGATTGTTTGCTAGGGGGGGAGGAGGGTCCTTTTACTAATTAGGACCCAACATTAGTCTAGTCTAGTCTAGTCTAGTGTAATGTAATGTCATGTAATGTAGTGTAATGCATGTATGTATGCGACGGGAGCTGTCCATACTGCTCCATGCACAACTAATCCTTTTCGCCAGATTTGTATTGTTCAAGGACCGTGCCAAGAAGTAGATGCCAATACTCGAAAATGGGACAACATATTATTTGGATGATTTGTGCTTCAGATTCTCAAGCCATGTCAGTCCATGTTCTGTTGCTATTGTTGTGTTTTGAGTCCCTTAACTTGGCTTGCGGGTATGTCCAAGTCAGAAGAATGCATCCTAATCCTGACGAAATGATTGTTTACATATATATATATATATATAATAGTTCAAAATCCTGCAGAGCTCACCCCCAGACAGCTCGTGAATGCTTCCATGCGTTCTGGCTCAAAGCGGCAACACATGACAGGACAATGTCCACATTTGAGAAATGATGATGGTGGGCCCTGGCATTCTTAGTGCGTAGGCTTCGTCATAACTCCCTCCACGGCCAGCCTGCCGGCCCTCTTTTTTATCCCGAGCTGCCACATACGACACTAAGACCCATCTTCAAGTTGGGAAGTCTTGCGGGGTAAAGACATAGAGCAGTGCAGTGCAGGGGGCACGCCAACTTCTCACACTCACCTCTTGCATGCCGGTGAGCCTGCCTGCTTGATCACTGCATGCATTCAATCTTCAACTTGCTTTTGAATTCTGGGGGGTCCCTATGAGTTCTTCTACATACAAAACCTCACCAGTCTCAGTGGTTAAAAGGATTAAACTGATTTAAAGGACCTTTGGGTCGTCACCCTACTGTTCTCAAGTCCCACCACCACAATGAGAAGACCCTACACTGAGAAAACTGCCCAGAATGTCAAGGTGAGGAAAGAAGCCGCCGGTGCATGGGTCGCTCAATGCCAGCGCAATGCCGGCGCATCCCTCATGCTCCTCATGCTTCCTGCTTGGTGTGCTGCTCCACGAGGACTTTTTGCCCTGAGACTGAATCGTATCGAGGCGGACCACGGTGCCAGACACCTAGAACTAGAACTGTCTTAAAATGTCACTAACCATTGTCAAACATGCATCTGCAGCATGCATCAGCATCATGATTCATGATGCATGGAATGCATGCGGTGAATTGCTGGAAACTGTTTTGTCAATCTATCCGCAACTGCTCCCACGTATGGGATGCACTGTAGCCCAAAAGAAACCACTTAGCCTTCATGGTGTGATCATTACCTCTACCCCTGTTGTGTAATAAAATCCTCTGCTGGCAAGTGAGTGTTTCTTCGTGTTTTCTAGGGGCTGGGCGTTTGGCTTGCAGACGTTCTCGATAATGAGTCGCTCTGGCACTGAAGAAGCCATCAGCATCCTCATCATCCTTCATAAAGACGCGGTCCTCACGGAACTCGTGGGATCCGAGCAGCCCCAACGAGACCGAGGATCGACCTGACCTCCAACGATACGCGAGCATATCACACACTGAGGTGTTCATCTAAACCGTTGGACTTAGCCAATGATCCTGCACAATGGCTAAGCAATCGGTCGACCCAAGTCCTCCTCGCTCTTCAGGAGCCGCAAGCTATCATAGCGGAAGGTGTCCAATTCCTTAACCTTAATGGAACGGTGCTCGCCTTGCCGGGTGAACTTGTGGACCAGCCCACCACTGCTCGACACGAATCTGTTTCGGCGGACGCCAGGCCGCCGAGACAGTCAGATATCGTCGGATAGTCCGATATGCTGGCTGTGAGGCAAGGGGCAGGAACTGGTGGGATCGACACCGTCTGCAGAACCGTGAGCAGGTAGTCCACATCCGGCTTTGCACCCTTCATTGGCCTGGCATGCCCCGCCCCATGGAAAATGGGTGTCTGCACACAGAATGCTGGCTTAGACAAACAAAAGGCTGGGTCTAGGTAAATAGATGCGCCCCACCTAAGACGACTTGCAACAAAGAACTCACAATGCACAGAAGACACTTTAAGCATACCCGTGTATCTATACATATATATATATATTATATATCATTTACCATGCATATCTAAATACAATATACAATACATATCTGCTCTATTGTACATTTGTATTAATTCATACTAATTCTATCCATATGGAACATCTCTGCACACGTCACGAATCACAACATCTATACAAGAAAAAGAAAAGTTACTCTGATTAAACTTGATTTCATCATCTCGTTGTGCATGGCAATGCTGTTTCAGTGACTCAGGTGACTAGTTGTCTTCGCATTTGGTCTTCTGTGCATTTGTGCGGTAGGATGAGCTTTCGGCAAGGGCCCATTCAGCCTGGAGGGCAGCACCGCCAACAAATCTTGTAAGCACTTGGGGATCATCACTGGGAGTTGAGCCTCCTGGCAGATTCTCAGAACATGATTGGGTTTCATCGAGGGCTTGGTGGCAGAAACTCTATGACCGAGAAATCATAGCTGCGTTGAAGTGTGACTTTGGTTGTACACAGAGCCTGTCGAATCACCATTTCAGAATAAAGCAGGGTTGCTAAAACAGCTAGCTAACTCGTCGCACCTCTGAACTGAAAACGAGACATATGATAACATGATACATGCGCAACCTGTCTCGGAGAGTTTGAGGAGCATTTGAGGACTGAGGGGCATCTGATTGTCCAAGCACTTCATTGCGCCAATAACGTGAGCCGGGAGGAACGTGGTGCTTTCCATTAACTTGATTGAACTCAAAGCTTTCCAAACAAACTTGGCCCGCACAAGGGGCTCAAAGTCGCTCCTCGCCCCGGCGCTCCGTTGGAATTCCTTCCACCTGCCGCTTTCTGCTGCTGACCACGTCCAGCGCGGGCTTGAAGGCCAACATCTTCCTCGTTTAGACCGAGCTGCCAAAAGTTGCTGAGGCAAAGTGGGGGAGCAAGCAAAAGGAATTGCAAAACAGTCAAATGCTGCATCCTACAAGCCTCCAAATCCAGACAGAATCCCACAGCTATACCACGAAATAGCTCCATGTACGTTCTTTCATAACAGTCTACCTCAATTAGTACATCTTGAAACTGTAATATATATATATATAATGACGCCCGACTAGATAGAAATGCAAAAAGGTCAAAAACCAGGACCTATAGCCGACCGAGCTTTTTGCATTTCTATCTTTGGTTTTTGCCCGCAAAACACAGCACAAGTGACTTATTTAACAAAAGGACCGCCTGACCGAGCACTCAAAATATTTCTATCTAGTCGGCCGTCGTTATAATTATATAATTGCAAATGCCACCCACCACGGTAGATTTTTTGCCTTTTTTATCATTGATTTTTGACATCAACTGTAACAGTGGCCCTTATCCAAGCATCGATGTGTCCGGCCGCGCCACTTGGGAGGAGAAGCCAACAGCAGGCGCAGCACCCAAGCGCTGATTCTCTGCCTCCGCATCAGCCACTACTTGATCCTGCCAAGCAACGGACTTCTGGCACAACCATTGCCAGTCTTTGGTTACAGTTGAGCATCAACCTCGCGGGCTGGCCCACCTATTGTAAGTCTACGCGGCACTCTGTGGTACCCCAGGAAGCTCAACGCACCATTTGAGACTGAGACGCATGTCGCCCAGGACCCCAAAAAACAAACGAAACTGCAAATCCCGCTTGAGGCGATGGAAAGGCTCTGCTTGCGGAAATTCGGGTTTCATTTGTCAAGGAAACGTAGCATCCAACATTGCAGTGCTCCTCCAACTCAACGGCTAGGTGCAGGTTCACTGCAAGCTCTGGGCGAGACCTATTGGGAAGTCGCACTGCTGCCATCTGAAACCAAGGAGCAAGGACGCTACCGCTACTAGGAGCAAGGGCATCGCTACTAGGAGCAAGGACGCTCCAAGCTCCTGGCCTTACTACTAGGAGCAAGGTTCGCTACTAGGAGCAAAGGAGATCGTTTCAGTTTTCCACGTCTGCTGCAACACCTCGGCGTTCGAAAGCTCTCAATGTGAGGACTTATGGCTTCACCACACTTGAACCTGATCTGCTTGACACTCGGCCTTGGCACCAAATGTAGGAATCGGAAGCTCTCTTCGACCTCCTGAATGCTCGTTGACCTCAAAAGTCCATGGGCAGCTGACCTCTATCAAAGGAACTCGAAAACCAAAAAGGCCTGCTGTGTGTTCATGTTTTTCCTTTTTTAGCCCGTGGCCCTGCCTCCTTACTTCACTAAGTAGGTGCCTACTGAATTATATAAGTAAGGGAGAAGTTCGCTCCTAGATACAGGATAGCTCACACTTCTTCAAGGAAGCTCCCCCCACCTGAGAGCGGGGGGAGCTTCTTTGAAGAAGCGCTCACACTAATGATTTGGTTCCTGGACTTTTAGGGAAACTTGCCTTTCGATAGTTCCAACAACAGCTATCCTGACTTCAGAACATCTTTGCAAAGCCATAACTGTGGATCCCGACAAGCCAAGAGAGATTGGTGTTTGCAAAATATTCTCTTCATCAACCTCAAGGTCTCGTTGGAGGTTTCGATATTCCTGGGCAGGGCAGTCTCACAAACAAAGCCACGTCCAATCAAAACAAAAATATCCACTAAGCACCGAAATAGAATCCTGGTGTGCATTGCAGATTATAAAGTCAAATGCGCCCCTGTGTCTCCAGCATGCCGGCCCCAACAGCTTATCTTGAAATTGGCTGGAGTGTTCTCCCTAATCTCTCAGTACCAAGTGTCAGAATCTCTGAACGACGTTGCACGGCGCACCGCTTCGGCATCGCCAAAATAGTTCTCGAGCCTCACCAGAGGATCTCAAATACTTCTAATCATAAGGCCATGTTCAAAATCAATTGCTGGCCTGGCCCACTTCTGCCACAAAAAGGCCAAGCTTTCCCTCATTGCTCGGCTCTCTTCGCGGTTGGCGAGTTTGTCCCTGACTGCCTCGACCACTTGCAAGTCCACACATGATTCGAAGTATTGCTCTCAATGTTGGCGGAATTCTGGAATAGATTCGGACCTCAATTGACGCCCTACCCATCATGAATAATGTCAATGGAGAATGGAGGCACCTGCTGCAGCTTGTCCAGGACACCTTGGGTGAGCTCTGCCCGTGCGCTGCGCAAGTCGTTGCAGCCTGCAAACGATGCTTTACCATATTCTGGAACAGCATGGAACCGTTTGCAGGAGTTTGGAGCCTTTTTCGTGCGGCTTTTAAGGTAGTCCAAGGAGTGGAACCAGTGTCACGTCAACACATCACTCAGTTGCCCGCGTGTCATTTGCTGGGTACAGTGGTTAGAAACAATGAATGCCGCAGAAAGAGCGGTTAAGCATGTTTTCACCTCGCATCGTCCACGTCCTTCGCATCCGCCCCACAGCCTATGAGGAAATTCACATAGGCAGCGAGAAGCGATGGCTCTCGGTCACCGTAGCGTTCGAGGCCCAAACGGAAAACCCCCGCCGCAGCCTGCCGGCGAACAGAGTCCAACAATAACTTTCAAGTGCATTCAAGCGATAGCGATCAAGAACAAGCATGCTCGGATGAGAATCCTATCAGAAGCTTGTTTTCCTGTTGAACTGAAGGATTGCGTCTCCAAGAAACGGCACAAACAGCCAAGAAAACGTCGGAATTCTTGTGTAGGGCGCTTCGACACGAATGGGTTAGTACGGAATCCACACTGCCACAGCACATGCAAACATAGCTGCAACATAGCATGCATAATTTAGGACCAGTTCAAACATTCACATGAATATGCATGCAGGAAAGGGCTCGAGCTGCATGTCAGTCGAAGCTGCCTCGACTGCGCCATAGACATGGTACTCGGTCATGGCTGCAAACACATAGACCTTGCAAATTATACAAATCAACCGCCAAACCCAAACTACTGACTTGACCGATTTGGTGCGGGGGGTAGCCTCAGGAAGGTACCCGAGGGTACCCGAGCGTGTTGTACAATGTCTTGTTGAACGGCATGGGTCAGAACAAAAATCAGGTTCCCCTTGAGCACAAAATGGTATATACAGTATACAAGACCCGTGAACCTCCAACGCTTCTCTTTGTTGACTTAAAGGTTGACGGACGAACCGACTCTCACCGCCAAGCTTGAAGTTGACCGAAGACTGTTGGAATGGAAACACTGTGGCACCACCATGCCGCATCACCACGAGCCTCCCAAGTGCAATGTGGTGATGACTCCGTGGCTTCCAGGAAGGTATCACGGAAATCATTGGCCCCGCGTTGCCTTCTGACCTCTGGAAACCACTGCCGCAAACATGCCATGATGCGGACGTTTGTCTCGTTAAGGTCCTGCTTGGCCTTGCGCCTTTCTCGTCTGTCAGTGTTGTACATGGCATTTAAATATCGACTCCTTGGACCTCTATGCATAGTAACAAGTGCATCGCCATTAGTAGCAAATCGCTGCTAGTAGATGCTAGTAGTAGTGCCCTTGTTACTAGTAGCGATGCACTTGTTACTATGTATGCACTGTAAACATGCGTGCAACATGGTGCAACGATTGACAGCCAGCCAGCTTGAAAAAAACAATTACATGTACTGAACATTGTGCATGTGTCCCTGTGTGTGTACCCCTTGGAATCACAGGGATCCTTTTGGATTGTTCTTGCTTTTAGTTCTTCGTTTGCAGCAGGGGGCTGGTTGTTCATGCAAGTACCAGCCCAACGAAGAGGCTTGCATTGAACACTGATATCGGTGGGGACGCTCACCGACGTACCTGCAATTTTCCTTTTCCGGATGGCATGAGGCTAAGCCCAGAACCTCACTCGGCAGACAAGTACGACCGTCGTCACCCTGTCGCTTCGTCGTCGATTTGAGACTTTGGCCTCCGTTCCCCTTGAAGACCCCCAGGCTCTTTAGGGCTTTCCTGGATCTTTCAGGATTTGGGCTTCTTAGGCTGGCGTGTGGCACCGGTGTCAAGTCAGTACGCAGGTCCATAAGTGTGTTTGGCCTCGTGCCAACCCGGGATGAGCCTCCCGTGGACCCGTTGAACGGGGGTTTGTCGTTACCTCCCTTGCTTTGGAGATGTAAGTGTCCGGAGCGGACAGCAGATGGCTTATGCCTCAAGAAGTGGGATGTTTGTCTCATCTTTGGAATTCCAAGTTGGCTCATGCCTTTACGTGACCGTAGCGGTCAGAGGTGGCAGCCCTCGGGCAAGCCGTACGTGGTCGCAGCGACCGAAGCTTGTTCAAGGTTCATTGGAACCTGACCCACTCTCAGGTGCACACACATCGTACACACCTTAACGAGGCAGGTCTTCCTAGGTTGTTGCAATGAGGTCTGGGCTCATCGGTTCCCGTCCCCCGCATTTGGTTCCCTTTTCATCCTTTCCCCTTCGCACACTTCTTTTCCTCTTTCTTTTCATGTCTTCCCTTGCTTCATGTCCTTTCATCTCACTCCTTTTGTTCTTTTGCGCGTACAACGGTCCGGGCCTTAGTGTGTAAGCGCACATCTACGTCCAACTCGGGTTTCACGTCGCCCAGGTTTCGACAATGAGGTTTCATCGGTTGTCCCTGTGCATTTGGTTTCTCTTTCATCGCAACCACACACACTTTTGCCCCGTCGTCTTCCTTCTCACGTCTTCATCCTTTTGTCCTTGCTGCGCGCACATTTGCACATTGGCCCTTGCCTTAATTTTGCCCCCCCTCGGGGAGGCGTGTGTGTGTGTACCCCTTGGAATCACAAGGATCCTTTTGGATTGTTCTTGCTTTTAGTTTTTCGTTTGCAGCAGGGGGGCTGGTTGTTCATGCAAGTACCAGCCCAACGAAGAGGCTTGCATTGAACACTGATATCGGTGGGGACGCTCACCGACGTACCTGCAATTGTCCTTTTCCGGATGGCATGAGGCTAAGCCCAGAACCTCACTCGGCAGACAAGTACGACCGTCGTCACCCTGTCGCTTCGTCGTCGATTTGAGACTTTGGCCTCCGTTCCTCTTGAAGACCCCCAGGCTCTTTAGGGCTTTCCTGGATCTTTCAGGATTTGGGTTTCTTAGGCTGGCGTGTGGCACCGCTGTCAAGTCAGTACGCATATCCATAAGTGTGTGTGTGTGACTGTCCATGTGTTTCCGGTAGGCATGCAATTGAATTGGCTTTCTTTCCCCCCTATTGTTTGCTTGATTGTGTTGCTTTGTTCTCTCCTGCCCGGGCGTGCCCAAACTCCCTGGAATCAGGCTGAATTCTGAAGGGGCAGCTTGGACACGGCATGACTTCTCATGACTAGCCCCTCGTTAGTAGCTGGTAGCTGAGGGTGCGGCATAGCCCAGGAAGTTGATGAGTGCCAATGGACAGGGCCGAGGCATATCATCCATCAATTTCCTAGCACAAAAGCGGTGAGAAAAACGCAGGAGGTCCATTGAATCTGCATGCCAAGCAGCCGATATGCATCATCTGCAGCCTCTAGCTGACTACCCGGCAGTGGGCTCTCCCCGAGTTCATACCGCTGAGCCAGCAGCAACCGCAACGTGAGATCCTGCCATGGGCGGCGACGAAAAAGTGCCCACACAAAGCGCGGTTTTCCTCACAGTGGAGCAACCGCGGTGTCCTTGGGTAGGAACCGCTGAACAGCCTTCCGCAAAACTTCAGTTGCTTCTTCTTGTTTCTTACCTCAGGCAGTCAGCAAGAACATGTGGCCTGACTTGAAACACTGGTTTCTGCACACTCTTCAGCCCACAATACAAAATTGTCCTCCTTGCCAAGAAACCGAGGTCTAGCCATGCTGAGAAATCATACCACAGGTCTGGAAAGAAGCCGCAAGCTAACGATGCCTGAGCAAGCAATGAGAAAAGCATGGAAAAGCAATATTCAATGTGCATTTGGTAAGTAACCTCAAGGCCCTCAAGAATGGGATCTTCAAGTCTTTCCAGAAGGTTCAGAATTCCCGCACCTGCTGGTACACCAGCGCCACTCTCGCGGTCAGCTCTTCGGTGTCCAGCTGCAAGGGATTGGTCCGCTCGAAGCGCAAAATGGCCCGCCACTGGTCAAACCTGCCACCAACGGCAGCGCGATTCTAAGAGGCAAATCACATGGCTGCAATTCGAAGCATTGCGGAGTCACCAGGATAAAAGGATTGCGGATCTTTTTACCGCTGGAGTTGCGTCATTGCAGTCGTTGGTGGGTTAAATTTAGAATAGAATGAGAAGCAAGTATCAAATGACAGTGGGAGTAGTGGTAGTTTTAAAAAAATGCCATATTAATAATAACATTAATCAGTGTTACAGTTAGCCCGCCTTTCTTTATCAATGTTCTACTGGTTTCCCGGCTGGGAATAGTGAGTGGTGATGGTGCTGGCAGCTCACTGATTAATTACCATGCATTTCAAGCAACCAAACCAGAGACAATGCATCGGGTAGTCAATGGTGGTCAGCTAGGCTAGTCCTGCACGTGCTCCGGACCCACACTGCATTGCAATGCGGTGCTTCCCCGCGAGCCGCGGACTCAACTGGAAACCACCGCATTCCAGGGAGCCACGGTGAGCCACTGGCAATCTTCTCGTCGGGACTGTGCCAAGGAGCGTTTTCCTCTGCTCCAACTCGGTTTTGGGAGTCAAAGGCACCGCCACCGCGTAGAAGTCCATATTGGCGCCAAGTTGACTAAGCTCCTGCCAAGTGGCTATCTCACATCTCAAGAAGACATGCTTCCATCAACAAAGTCTGCGAAAATCCTGTCCTCTCACTTAAATGAGATCATCAAATGGGATCTTCTCCAAAAGGGCATCAGAACGTTGGTGAGTAAACTTTAGATTCGCATTACGTGAGTCTCCACAAGTCCATCCCCTCATCCAATACATCCGAGATGCCAGGAATCCTTTGAACGAGCTTGAGACTAGCATGTCCTGTGCATAACTGCTGTCCTTATATGCCGCCTTTCCTTTCACGTAGCGAGGCAAGTGCTCAGACATGTACTTTGCTGCCATCGCAGGATTGCCCTGCAGGGCATTGTGGCTTGTTGACGTGCTGGTACTGCAGAACCCTCTAAACCGTGTAAGCTAAATACTAGACTAGGCTGCAAGGCTTGACTGCAGGTAGTCTTGGAATGCCTAAATGCCTTTAGACACACCCCAAACAAGGAAAAGAACTCCTATGACACTCTCAACTGCCCTTGACTCTCGGCTACCCTTTAAGTCCAGTGGTTTCACGACACCCTGTGGCCAATCTTGCACCTGAGATTTTTCGAACTGCTCATAGCCCACCCAGAGTTTGTCCATTGTGCTATGTGACGCTCCAGCACATCTCTGAAAAACCTTCCGCACAAAGTCCGTATCGATCCTGGCACATGGATGCCGCCAATTTTGCAAGACAAACCGGCCATGTCCGCCGCTGCCTCCTACAGGCCCATGCCTTGATGCGGCTTCATGGAGGGAAGGTATTTCAAGCTGACAGACATCCGGAAACAAACTGCTAGCGTGGGCTCGTTCGCTGGAATTGACAAGAACAAAGAGCCATAGCCCGTACGCCACCGGCTATTGGATCCTTTGGGCATATGCGCATCTCGGATCTTTGCCAAGGCTCTTCAGAACTTCGGAGACTCGCAGGAATTCGGCGTCAGAGATATCAGCTGAAGCTCGGCCAGACTCTTCCTTCATACACGTACTGCATGAAAGCTGTCTACTTGCACGCATCTCAAATCTTACAGTAGAGGAACAGTGGCATTGCAAAGGAAAAAAAACCATTCAACATTCAAGATCGCAAGTCTTGTTGATGTCAGAACCTTTCTAAATGGCACTTCTCCACCTTGCTCAAGTCATACACCACTCTACGGAGCGCCTGCTTTTGCTTCAGCTCCTTCTTGAGCATCCGTTTGGCCGTGTCAATGGGATTGGGATCTTCTGCCAAGAGCTTCCCTTGCAGCTCTGCATCGGGATTCTCCTCTCAGGCTCAGCCCCCACGCGGCCCAAGGGCTCAATGTGTCCAACAAGTGGCCGGCGCAAGAAGGGTGGATAGAGGACGCTACGAACGGAGCAAAGGGCACTGCTACTAGGAGCAAGGACGCTACTACTAGCTCCTGGCCTTACTACTAGTAACAAGAAGCTACTAGGGGCTCCTGGCCTTACTACTAGGAACAAGAAGCTACTAGCGTGGATTCACTGAAGAACCTCTTCGTATTCTATGGGAACAATGGCTCGCCAGATCATGCCAGCACACAATGTCTCAAATTGCTTGCCAGTGAATGCTAGCAATCAGCTTTCTGGCAACACCCGGCCGTGCACCCAAAAGTTACTAAGTAGAAAAGGGGAATGTCCTTCTTTTGCTTCAAGTTGTATGCGTGTTTCAGCAGGGCGAGGTAGTCTGACCACACTGGAGCAGCCTTGGCAAATGGCCCCTAAAGTGCAACCTTCCGGAACACACGTACATTTGCATGCTTGAAGGGTGGCACGCAATTTCAAGCACGTGCTGAGCATTCCAGCTTGCCCCCCTTGCTTAGTATTTTACAAATTTTACACGACGGGCCCCATGCCAAGGCACCCTCCAGTCACTGCCCAAAAGGTCAATGGCTCTGCCATAGGAGCGCAGGACTTCTTCCAAGGTCTGATGTCGCTTTGAGAAGTTCAGATACGAGAGCCAAAGGTCCATGTTGGGCCTCGGGGTCCAATTTGTTCAAAGATGTTCAAAGTACTCACCTGAATTCAGAAGCAGCCGCCATGCCCGGGCTACGGTGCTATGAACGAAATAATGCCGGTTGCGGCCATTGCTTCAGTGTGCTGGGCTGCCTTAGGCTCTGACACCTGTTGCAGGCAACGGCTGTAAACCCCCAGCGCCATAGCAGAGTCCTGACAGTTTCCGTCGGAGGCGCCAGCATCAGTCACACCGAGCGAGTAACGGTTCAGCAGCTGAGCATCACGTGTCCTGCATTTCGCACCACTCGGCATAAGCCGCCCAAATCCGAGCAGCATATGGCAGTTGCTTCACAGCTCGCTCGAAGACCGGCTCCGCCTTCCCTTCCTGCTTTCTGCACAGACATGCCCGACTGTGGAAGAGTGCAAGGCGCAAAGAACGGTGGTCTCACCGAGTCCCAAAAGAAAAAACTATGTACATCTACGCACCATTCTTCCAAAGAACGGTGGTCTTGCTCAACTGACCCATGCAGAACTCTCGGCCTGAATGCTTTCTCGAAGTCGCGCATCCCAGGCCCCAAGGTCATAAGGATCTGCCTCGATGGCGGCTTCTAACCTTGGGCCGGACCACTATTTGCGTTACACTTCGCAACCAGTTTTGAATGTGTAGCCGAGAACATAAGCATGTGTATGTATGTATGTATGTATGTCTGTCTGTCTGTCCGTCCGTCCGTCCGTCCGTCGGTCTGTCTGTCTGTGTGTGTGTCTGTATGTATGTATGTATGTATGTGTCTGCATGTATGTATGTATGTATGTATGTGTGTGTGTGTATGTATGTATGTGTATGTATGTATGTATGTATGTATGTGTGTGTGTGTATCTATGTGTGTCTGTATGTATGTATGTATGCATGTATGTATGTATGCATGTATTTATGTCTGTATGTATGTATGTATGTATGTATTTTTCTCCTAGAGGGCCTTTGCTACTGCAGAGTTCTCAATGCCATGTTGGCATGTGGCCGCAAAGCTGCTAGAAGTAATCCACGGTGACCACTGGATCCAGGTCCATGTCGTCAACGGTTTCCCCTTCCTCTTGTTCATCTTCAGACGTCTTGTGACCTAAGGTCATGTCTGCTTGAGTTTTCACAGCTCCTGCTTCAAGGCTCGGGTTCATGGCCTGTGCAGGTGGCCGTGATGGATATGCTGTTGGCCTTGTGCGTTGGACTCGTGCACCTGCAGGTAGGCTGGGGTTTGATTCATGGCCTGTGCAGGGCAAGGAGTCAGACCCTGGTGTGGTCAGGGCTGCGTTGAAATGGAGTCTTCTTGGCCTGAGAACTGATGGCTGCTCATCAGCAGTGTCAGGCTGTGACTGCAGAGCACCTTCTGAAACTGGTGCCTGCCTTTTGGCCTGATCTTTTGAACATCTCCCCCTTTGCACTCCTTCATGAATGCTGCTGTCTGGATAATTCTTTGCTGTCCATCCAAGTGCAGTTGCAGACCACACAGCTTGCATGAGAGCCTGTCTCCTTTCTGCCATAGATGATGGCTGCTGCGCCCTTGATGGGCGGCCGTTTAGGCTTGCTCAATGCACGCGCTGCCAATGAAGGCTTGGAAGGCTGTTTCATTGGTTCTTGTGTGGACGCTGATGCCGCACTTTTGACACCTGAGGTAGCCTGTCGTTTCTGCCAACTGGTGCTGATCAGCCGTGAGTTCTTGTTCTGCCTGCTCTGTCAGAAGGTTCTTGATCGCCTGTGCTCTTGTGAGTTTTTTTTGGCATGGCCTTGGTTGGGCTGCGATGGTCCTCAATGGCTTCCTCCAGGCTGAGCTGCGGATAGCTTGGGTTAGGCGCTCTTCCAAGACGGGGACGGTGAGGCTCTGGTGTACCCGGATGCCGCAGGCACTGCAATGAAAGCCACTCCTGTGGGGTTCCCAGCGGTGGTCCTGGTCCTGCACCTCTTCCAGCAAATCCTTCACAGGTGTCGTGGTGTGCTTGGCCAACGCCACAAGGCCTGGCTTTGGTCTGGCCTGGGGGCTGGCGGGTATGCCTGTGATGGCGCCCAATCGACCCAGACTTGACTGCGAGCATCATAGGTAGAGGGAGTGGCATCCAAAGTGAATGCCCACCCTTGGCGCTGATGGGCCGGGGTTTGCAGCGTCTGCCAGGCATGGGTGGAGCATCTGTCGGCGCTCCATGGGGCTAAAGCGGTATCCACAGGTCTTTGGGTCTCCTGACAGGTTTGAGTTTGTTCAAAACAGGCGGAGTGTCCAGGAGCGCCTCCTGGTAGGTCTTCTTGGGCCAGGATTGTCCTGGATTGGCTGGTAGATGGCGGAGCCCATGCCCTTGGCCTTTGCCTTTGCCTGTGGCCTTTTTGGCCTTCATCCACCAAGTTCCACAGCGCCTGCGTCGAGTTCCGGGCTGCAGTTTGTCGTCCCAGATCCAATTGCTGCAGGTGTTGTGGCTGCAGGCTGTGTAGCTTCTGCACCAGGTTGAGGTCTTAGAGGGTGTCACAGTGCAGGATAACTTCTTGCCAAAGCTGGCGGCCTAATGGGCAAGGTGTGTGGCACGGTCCTCGATCTGGCCTTAGAGGGAGTCAGAAAAGTAGCGCCAGTCACCTCGTGAGTGTCCAAGAAGTTGAGGCGCCGATGAGGTAGCTCAAGGGAAAAGGATGCCCTTCTTGGTGTCCTCCTCTATTATGAGCAAAGGCCAGTGCCCAGGGGAAGCAAGGGAGTCGTCAAGGCACACGCGGTGCAAGGTGGATCCGCACCAGCTGTTTTTTTGCGGTTGCGGGCACCAGCTTGAACACTCGTGTATGTATGCGTGTATGTATGTATGTATGTACGTATGTATGTATGTATGTGTGTGTATGTATGTGTGTGTATGTCTGTGTGTATGTATGTGTGTATCTATGTGTGTATGCATGTATGTATGTATGCATGTATGTATGCATGCATGCATGCATGTATGTATGTATGTATGCATGTATGTATGTATGTATGTATGTATTTTTCTCCTAGAGGGGCCTTTGCTACTGCAGAGCTCTCAATGCCAGGTTGGCATGTGGCCGCAAAGCTGCTAGAAGTAATCCACGGTGACCACTGGATCCACCTCCATGTCGTCAACGGTTTCCCCTTCCTCTTGTTCATCTTCAGACGTCTTGTGACCTAAGGTCATGTCTGCTTGAGTTTTCACAGCTCCTGCTTCAAGGCTCGGGTTCAAGGCCTGTGCAGGTGGCCGTGATGGATCTGCTGTGGATGCTGTTGGCCTTGTGCGTTGGACTCGTGCACCTGCTGGTAGGCTGGCGTTTGATTCATGGCCTGTGCAGGGCAAGGAGTCAGACCCTGGTGTGGTCAGGGCTGCGTTGAAATGGAGGTAGAGCTTTGAGAGCCTTCTGGAGCATCCCTTGTGTCAGCGGCGCAAGTGAGTGGGCCTGCTATCTATCTATGTATGTATGTATGTAGGTGGGTAGGTATGTATGTATGTCGATACCTATCGAACCAAAACAATATCCAAAACAAAAAGAATCACATATTATATAACACTTATCAATAAGTTGTTAATATATGGAGGACTTAGAGCTGATATACAATACGGATGTATTCGGGCAACAGTAGAAGGAAACAGCATCCTCCATGGCCTCCCAGATTGATGAATCAAGTACATGTGCACACCCCCGCAGCAGCCATGTGACCATTCTCATGTGACCATTCTTTCCGAGCCACGACTTGATCCGTGCGCCCACTGGCTGCGTGGCGATTTGTGTCCCCTGGCAGAGGGGTTGATGCACAGTGGGATGGACATAGCTCCAAGGTTTGGGTGGATTTCGTGGCACTGGAACTGGAACTGGCACTTTGGGCTGCACCCTCCAGTTGATGCAGCAGGAGCATAGGAAAAGAATACCAAAAAAAAAGGCAGCATCCGCCCACCTTCACAAGCCCGGGCAGCTGCGCCCCTGGTGGCACCATTGGCGCCGCCTTCATGGTGGCTGATGCCAAAGAGGAGCCTTCAGCAAATCGCACAAAAGAGTTACTATAGTACATGTCGAGAGTCGTCCACACAAGGTGGAAGGTGTTCCTTGCAGCAGCCACGAAACGTAAATTTGGCCACCGGTCACCAATCTGCTCACAGAAACCCCGAGGCAGCCTCTAGCTGCACGTCTTCCAAAGCACAAAAATCAGCTGTGTTTCTGTTCAGAGCTCTTGACATGATGGCTTCGCACTACAACATCCTTTGTGGAATAACCGGTGGGGGTTGAGAACCCCATTTTATAGTGATAAATGACTGAACCAGGCTCTGGGAGCACAATGCCCCACTATAGAATCTAGCTTTCAACCCTTGTAGTGTACAGCATAGTTTCTCTATAGAATAAAGGGAGTCAACCTTTAAGGCACTAATGTAACAGAATTGTAGCCTCAAAATCTGAATTATCCAATAGAAACAGCCAGGGGTGGTCCTCATTCTATAGACAAGTGGGTGTAACATCAAGGCTGACATATTGTTTTAGAGGAAAGTTACGCAGCAATGGCAAAATAGGTTGGCATGTTATTCGATAAAAACATGATTGAACATTGCAAGGTTGAAATTCATTCTATTCAAAAAAAATATTGGACAGAAAATGACACTCCAAAAACAAGATATGTCTATAGAGGTTGGTATTCATTTTATAAGGACAGGGTTGGACACTCACAGGTTGATTTTTTATTTTAGAAAGGTGGGCTGAATGTTGAACAAAAAAAATCATTTTATAGTGGGCCAATATTCACCGGTTATTCCACAGGACATGTGGGAATGCATGCACCAGATTGCACAAGAATGCGCCGGATATTTCGTGAAATCAGAATCAGAATCCAACCTACCTCACTGTAAAACATCCATCCACTCTAAAATAAACTCTCAACCTTCTACTGTTCCAGGTTCTCTCTATAGAATCAAAACCATGTCCTCTATAAAATGTCCTCAATTATCATGTATTCTTATAAAATGAGGGTGATCAACCTATTGACCCATCAATATATGATTTTCTCACCTCAGAGATCCTCAGAGTGGATCTGTCTCAGGTAGGTTGACATTTGATTCTAGAAAAAAACTCTCTAAAAAATGCCAGGTCATTTTGGAGCTCGACCTCCCCCATTCTATAGGGGTTATTCGGCAGAGGATACTACAACTATATGACCATATATGGCTTCATGTACTCCACACTACTCCACTCTGAGTTGCTCTTGGGTGTCGCCATGGCGATGGCTCCACGCAAAGCTAAAGGTTAGCTGACGGATTCCTGCTACTTCTTCGATGGCTGTGACTAGTGGTGATCGTTGGGGACGCCTGTCTATGAAAAGTCTGCAGGTGATCTCTGATATTAGGCCTCTCTGTCATTAATTGATGTCACCATGGGAGGCATTGCGCAGCTTAAGACGGTGCTTCAGGCAAACCTGCTAAGGGAGGCGCATGCTGAAACAGTGGTTTGGATCGGACACTGTCCTTTCCGTTAGGGTGGGGTCTGGCGTTTTAGCCTGAACCCAGGTTTTGCCTGGGCTAAAGGCTCAAGAGATTTCTAACAGGTTCTTGAGCTTGAGCTGGTGTGCATTCCATGCTTGAAGTAAAAGCAGCTGCAAACAGAAGGCCAGCGGTAGTTTCGCTTCTGGATAAGCTTGTGCCACGCTGCCCACCGTTCTGGAGTCATTGAACCCCCACACTACACACCGATCCGACAGAGCAAGTTCTGCCCCTTCTCTGCTCAGGGCTTGGGCTGGGCAGGGTGGCCCACTGGCCGGCCTCAGGATGAAGCTGGTCGTGTGCGTCGGCTTGGGTGTTGCGCAGGAAAACAAAAATCCTGCCAAGTCCAATGAAAGATATTTGCGGGCCTCCACATGGCCACATGCCGGAGAGCAAGGAAAGAGCATCTAGGTGCATTCAATTCATTCCGTTTTCATCGAACACCTGCCACGCTTGTGCGCCAAGCCATGGGGAATGGTGTTTTTTAAAATTGGGAATTGCGTCACAAGCTGGTACGACCGAATGGCACACCTTGAGCAGAGTGAGGGAAAACTGTAGAGGCTTGGTAGCTTGACCGTCTAGACAAAATATTGCCTTTGTTAGGCCGAATGGGAAGGACCCAAAAGCATTGCATTGTAATTCTACATACGTGTTTGATTCCTACCCTTGGCGACCCGTTCGGTTAAGCATGTCTTTGGTGTCGTTCGGATTTCGAACTCTTGAGCACCGGCTTCTGCGAGCATGCTTGGTGGAACTTCCATGCAAGTCAGTAGTGATGGATAGTATACTGTATGCGCCTGAGGTGACCTTACCTTGCGCAATCTACAGTAGATTGAATCTCGCAGGTGCAATCTCAACCATCACCATTCCCCACACTGTCAGTCAATTCAACCGCACGTAAGCTTTGGCCAGGCGGAGTTGCTGCGGCCGTCAATGACTCAGATGCAGCCTTAGGGCATTCAGGATGCGCAAGGCGCCGCAAGGCCATTCTGATCGTTCTGCCCTGCCCGTCCCGTTGCATTTCACATGAGTCGGCCAAGGGTGTTGGAGAGTGCCAGTAAGTAACAAATAGACTAAGCAGACTGAAGTTGCTAGTCTTGCTGAGATCGGTAAACACAGAATCGCCCTTTTCCACTCTCTGTCCAGCTGCATGCTGGGGAGCGCTTGACGTGAAACCTCTTTGAGTGGGTGACTGGACCGCATTCGCCATCTCAGGCTGCATGGGGTACAAGGATGGGGAAAAGGGCAATCTGAGCAAGCTGTACCAGCCAGGCATTCACTCAGAAGAAAGCTGGTGTTGCAAGGTGGCTGGTTTTCCCGGTCTTCTTGGAGGCTTGCTGCTCCATCGACTCCATCGAGCTCACTTTTCCCTTTTTGATCATGTTGTCGATCTTCTGCCATTGCTGGTTTTCTGTCATCTTCCTCTTTTTGGCTTCTGCTGCTGCACTCTTCTTGTTGGCTGTTACAGTGTCCTCATTCACCTTCTTCTTGTCAGCCCCTTTCTTATCTTTCTTTTTCTTCGCCTCATCCTCATCGCTGTCATCGCTATGAGTGGTCATCATAGCACCACCCATCATGGCATTGGGGAAAAGCTCATCATAGGCATCATTGCCTTAGATAGGTGAAGGCCAGGCCCCAGGCCCCGCCAGCGTTGTATCATCACATGTCAGGGCCTGTGTCACTCCGTGTGTTCGTTATGTGCAAGCATTGGCAATCACAAGTAACCCTGGTAGAAGTCCATGACGGCGTGAACCGGCGCAGGGGGGATTTGATCCAGGGGGGCCCCCCCCGACGAACAGAATCATCTCTTACAGGACCAAACTCAATGCACAATCCCAACTCCTGATTGTAATACATTTTTGCTAAAGCAAGGAGAACTCAGGTAGCTCAAGCTACCTTTCGTGGTAAGACCGCTATCCGCTATCGGCCATGGTTCAATGATGAACTGACAACTGCCTGGACTAAGCTTCTGTCTCTCAGTTGCTCCTCCGACTTGCTACACTGCTACACACCAAGATGCCTGGATTTCCCATGCCTTGCGGTCCACTGCCGCTGCTTTTTGCTGCCTTTCTCTTCCGTGGGTCCTTCTCTTGAGGTGGGGCTGCCTCAACCTTCTTCTTGGGTGGCACTTCCTGGCACTGCAAAAGCACACTGCACAAAGCATTCTACATCACCACCTCATGGCCACAATCTCGCCATGAACCATTGACTTCCAATCAGCGGGATACGTGCCTCATAGTAGCCCAGGCCCTGCTCTCCAAGTTTGAAAACCCAATTCTTCCCTTGGAAATTGAATTCTGAATGTCGCCGAAAGCTTCGGGCATACAACAAGTCTCATGCACAAGAAGGACAAGGAATTTTGTACACTACCTTCCTGAGCAAAGCAAGACATGGTTTCCATGATCCAAGAACAACTCCTCTAAGACCTGCTGGTGACCGGCACTGGCACAGAATTCAAGTGCAGCCAAAGCACGTGCACCTTTGAACTTGCTTGACGCTTGGAAGCGGCCAGTGGGCTTGTGGAACTGGCCAGGCTCCAAGGTGGACTCCTAACACTTCAAGTAACGACAGCCTCATAGTGAACACTGAACGTCTACAAGATCCCAATTCTGAAGGAATTTTCTGGATGCTGCACCCAGACCTTACTGCCACCAGAACATGCTGAGACCTCGGCGCAACGTGCCGCTGTCCTTCTGAATCCCTATTTCTCTCTCTGCAAAGTCTGACTGAAGCTCAGTCGTCCCACAAGGACACTAAAGAAGGATGTCAGCAAACAAGAACATGTGGATGGTTGATGATGTTTGTGGATACAGTATTTTCCGTCTTGTCTCCTCCACCTCTATCTCGTCTAAATCCAGCTGCCTCTCTGGAGCTTGTCCTTAGATCTCCAACGACCTACAAGTTGCATGCTCTCTGGTTCGTCTCACGTGCAACAAAAGGGTCTCCCTTTCTTGGTTCGGCTCAGCTCACGCACAGCTGGGTACCAGTGCTCTCAAGCATCGATATTTCTCGTCACCAGCATCGTCAAAGTAAGAAGCCTTTGCCTTTGCCTTTGCACATCTGGTGCATGTGCTGGGCAAAACTTTCGCTGGTAGCGGAAGTGCACAACGGCCGGAAACTACATGGGACGGAGACTTACCTGAGATCTTATTTTCAGTACTAGTTCCACCTCGTTGAGAAGTGACAATGCTCAAGCAACTTGAAGGGATGCCTTCCAGCATGTCGTGTTGGGGGAGGTAGTGCCATGAACAACCTGAATTTTTCGGAGATGCTTTATCCCTCTCCTTGCTCTTCTCTTTGTCCTTCTCCTTTTCTCTCTTTGCTTCCGCCTTTGCAGCCTTTGCATCTTGAAGACTTTGCGGGCCTTGCTTCGCCGCTTGTTCCGCACGTGCCTTCTGGACAAATTCCTGGCAGCACAAGGGTGGCTCCCGATACACAAGCGCAAATTGAGCTTCCCTGGGCCCTCTTCAGGCCGAGACACATTGGCATCAAAGGAACCTGCACCAGAAAAAATGTCGTTGTCGCTATCCCTGGCCTGCCGGTGAAGATCCACAACATTCCGTGGCATTTGCGCATGAGGAATTGGTGGCAAACATATTGGCAGCGAAAGCATGCGCAGTGAACCTCTATGTGTATATATATATATATATGCCGTAAATAATGTATGCACATACAAACTATAAATCCAGTAGTAGCAGTAGTAGTAGTAGTCGTCGTCGTCGTCGTAGTCGTCGTCGTCGTCGTGGTGGTGGTGGTGGGACTAGTAGGGGTGGTAGTAGTAGTTGTTGTTGTCGTCGCAGCAGCAGCAGCAGCAGTAGCAGTAATGACAGTAAGTAACGGTAGTATTAGTATCAATGGTAGTAGTCGTCGTCGTCGTGGTCGTCGTGGTCATCGTCGTCGTAGCAACGGCGGCTGTTGTAGCAGTAGTTTCTTACTCCTCTACATCATATTGCCGGGTGGCTCACAAAAGCCCTGTCTTTGAATTTTGACCGAATGGCCCTTTGTCTTCTCCATTTTGTCCCCGGGTGGCTTACAAAAAGTATGCTACAATGGAATGGGCCCCTGACAGCCTCTAATTCTGTTCTGTCTTCCGCCCCCAGTAAAATTCAACTTCGTTTGCAAAGACTACATTCTGCCTGTGTCTCTCTTTCTTTCTTTCTTCCTTCTTTCCTTCCCTTCCCTTCCCTTCCCTTTTATTTCCTTTCCTTTCCTTCCTTTCGACTTTTCGTGGCAGGCGTGGGAGAGCGATGTGCAGATTTCGTACCAGGTGCACTGCTTTGTGAATCCACCACCACCACCACCGCCACCACCGCCACCGCCACCGCCACTGCCACTGCCACTACCACTCCGACGAGGACAACAAAATAATCTTCTCACTCTCACTCATCATTGTGATCTTCTGAACACTGTTTGGGGCCTCTTCCCGGGATAAATTGTTTGATCCCTGCAGGTTTTTCTTTTGACCCCTGATTTTTGTTTGATCCTTATTTTTGGGAGATGCCTCTCCCTCAAGGTTTCTTCAAGGAGTTCTCAAGGTTCCCGACGCACCGAATGCGCCTTAAACTTGGAGACCTCGACCTTTTGAGCCGCATAGGCCGTGCCTTCAGAAGGCAAAAGGGTTTGCTTGCTGAAGTAGTTGCGAAGCAAACCCATCGGAGTCCTTTGCAATAATTAAGCATGTTTAGGGTTTTCTGGCCTAATCTGGCCAGACATACTGCTTAGAACTGCAACCCTTGTGCCGGACAGTGCCAGACCAGTCTAGGTACCAACTCAGGCCCGCCTGCGGCCAGATTCTTTTCCTTGCGCTTCTTTCGTTCCTCTGCTGCCTTCTGCATGGCATTTCGGACCTGGGCGGGCCAGTGGGCCAAACCGCGAACTAGCCGGTGTGTGCTGGGCGAACTGGCATCATTATATAACTAAATGATACTAAATGAATGCACTGCATATAGACATATCTCTTCTCCGCATATGTGATACGACAGGGGTGGTCAAGGTGAACCTGAGGGGATCCAGAAGTTCTGCCACCAGCAATGGAACAAACTTGCCTGCAACGGACAGCACCGGAATGCCAACGGCTGTAGAAGACATCTAATGTAAAGCAAGCAGTCTGGCAGTCTGGCCAGTAGAAGCATGACAGAAGACAAGCATGCTCTGGCGTAGCTGGTATGGCATAGCCTGTGTGCGCCAGCCTTCGATATCTCGAGAGGAGGGCATGGGCATGCTCATATATGTGCAGTGGGTTGCCTACTGCCACAATGGAATCTGGCAAGGTTCTGTCCTGAGCAGTGTCGAATGCTAATTGAATACTGGAGCCCGGGTCCCCGTTGCAAAGGAGAAGACTATGAAGACTTCACACTGTACATGCTGCTTTTAGGGCCGCTGCTGCACTTTTCAATGCAGACAGGCCACTCGAACAGCAGTCTCCGGCAGCATACCGGAGGTGAGCTTGCCTCGCTCGCTCGGAGCAATCTCCTGCGATCAACACACAAGGGGCCTTGGAAGCACACGATGTTATATGATTTTCTCGTGTTGCTCCTCCTTGCTCATGTAAACGATACGCGGGATATCCGTCTTGCCCATCTCCAGCTCCGTGTCGAACTCATAAGCCATGCGACCAGGAAGAAACATGCTTGGAGCGTTGCGAATGCGGTGGCCCTGCCCCAAGCCAGTGAAGAGCACGGCAGAATAAGACGTAGTTTGAAGCTCGTCTTGCCCGTTCTATCACCCCCGACATCATGTGGAGTCCCCAATTTCTTGGCTACTGTAAGTGCAGCTTCACACGAGATTGTGCCTGAGGACGCATATATCAACCAACACTGCCCGTAACCTGTACCTTCATGTATCTTGCCGTCTGGTAGCAGGTGCACAAATGTGGACAAACACTCCCTGCCGGCTCAATTGGGTCATAGAAGCCATTAGAGATTAACTATATACTCCTCCATGCTCTGTTTTGGCCAGCCTGTGCGATGGCTTTGCCCATCCTCTGGACGCGCTCCTTCCAATACAAAATGCAACCCTCATCAATTTTCACAGACTTTATTAATGAAATGCCGCTAAGAGAGCCAGGTGTGGTCTGCGGCTCTCATGTTGATGGCCTTGATTCTGCTTTTGGTCTACCAGCTCATGAACAGGAAGCCAAAGCTCCTTGAAGGTGCTGTGGTGCGGATGCAGCGTATCCACGACAGTGAGCCACACGTTCTTTGCCTCATTACTGGTGACAAATGAGCAAAGTACGTAACAGGTCCTCTTCTGTCCCAATGCCACACTGCCAAAAGAAAAGGCCTTCTCCGCCCGGATTTGGGAGGTAGCTGCCACAAGATCACATGCGGGGTGTATTCCTTGTCTTTCTTCCCTCTACCGATTTGTTGACCACTCCCCATCGGCCATGGCGCAATGCGGTTCTCAAAGGTGCGCTTCTTCTCACCAGGCTTGCGCTGTTGCTGCTTGGCTTTCCTTACACGTGCACTACTATCCCTCGCCTGACGTGAAGGGTGCTAACCTCAAGGTGGCTTTGTGCATTCGGTCTCAACATAAAGTTTAGGTGCTGCCAGGATTCTGGATCTCTTCTACCTTCTTTTGTTTATTCAGCTCCGCCCGGACCTTGTTCAGAAGAGCAAAGTCCAAGCCTTTCACCAGGTGCGTGTGCTCCAAATCACCTGCCATACGGACATGCTCTCTCTGACCTCTCGCCCGTAAATGGAGGATACGTGACACAGCTCCCAGGCCTCCAAGATATTTCGATTGTTCAACCGAGACTTCGCCATGGTTTTCGAACTCTGCGGCGACTTTCTCCTGATGCTAGGACAAGCATCACATCGGCCGCTTCTTCATGATTCTGCCCAAGCAAAGGTCACAACAGTTTCAGTATACAGGAGGATGCTACCGAGGCCAAAATGTTGATCCTCCGTCTTCCTCTTGTGCTTCCATGTGTTTCTGGCATTCAACCTTTTTCGACTTGCAGGCATGTGTGCCATTGTGTGGCCACGTTTGACGGACGTTTGTCCAAGGCAAAATGTTCAATCGCAGCCAGGTGACATACTCAGCTTTCAAATCACGACGGTCAGCTGCACGATCCCGGTATTTGCTATTCTCAGCCTCCTGCACACACCGTTGCCATTGGAGTAGGGTGATGACCCTTCGGAGTGGAACAAGAAGTGGCTTGCAAGCAAAGTGCACCACATGAGACAATGACCCTCCATGTTCATCACTGACTGGGGTGGTGCGAGCAACCAGGTCAAGGATCGGGTCTCTTGCTGAATGTTATTTTTAAAAAAATACGCCTCTGCAAAATCTATATAGGAAGCAAAACATTGCAGGCAAGCACAGAGGTGCACTAAGCTGCAATCAATGTGTTAACCCAAATGCCCATGCTTCTCCTCCAGTTCCTTTTCCAAGGCCTTTTGCTTGTACTTGTTTGCTCTCCTCGGCAGCGTGTGCTTGGTCATTGTCTCAGCTATCCGGTCACACTTTCTGAAGTGGATAAACTGGCTTCAAAGATTTTCTGTGGATGTTGGTACATCTTTCCGTGTTGAATTCCGACCATCTTTAGCAAAACACCAGTTCAGCTGCCCAAGCCACGCAATTCGCGCAATGGCCTTTTCATCTTTGCCTTTCCCTCCACCTTTGCCACGAGCTGAGCCTGCCACGTCCAAGGTGACATGGAACACGGGTGGATGGGGTCGTCCGACTCACTGGCCTCCGCTCGTACCCTTCGTTCTTCGCTTCGTAAGCTCCTGCACGAGCTCCCTGGCAAAGCCACAGTTCGACAGCCAAATTCATCAGGACAGTTCATTGAGTGCCCCAGCCTTTTTAGGCCGAAAACTAGTCCAGTTTCAAGGTAGCGAGGTCCAAATTCTGAACATTCCTGCTTGGAAATTGCGGGGTGCAGAATCGCCCCAATATTCACTTGACATGGCCTATGCAGGCCCCGTCTCCGCCTGTCATTGGTCGTCAAAAGCCGCTGGAAATCGGAATTGTTCATCGGCTCGTTTGGGATCAGCACACAAAGAGCTCCGCACGTTTTGCAGAATGAATGCTTTATAGGTGGGTGTGATTCATTTTGGTGCTGCCACCTTCAGCTCCGCAACAAGTTGTGTGAGGAGGTCTTGCAAGTCTGAAGTCTGTTTACAGTAAGGGTATGCAAGGGTCGTGCAAAACACTTGATACAGGGATTCTTGTTGATCGCAAGGTCACATAAGTGAATGGTGTATGTAAGTTTGGTCTCCCCTCCTGTAGTACATGGTCATTCGATCTTTCCTGTGAGCCGTTTCAGCAATCAAGTTGAAGAAGCACACATGACTTACCGACTCTCTAATGTGTTCCACCGTTTGAGAGTATATAACTTTTGCGTTCTGCGTTTCAGGTGGCCACGCCAAAGTAGCACTTCCTGGCATGATCTTTGGAAAAGCTTTGTCACCATTGATGAAAACAAGCATGAACAAACAAATTACAGGACATATGCCAGGAAACTCAACAGTGTTTCATGCCAAAAAATGTCCACCATGGATGTGGTGGCTACGTGAGTCTCTGGCAGCTAAAGCTTTGGCAAACTGCAAAGTTGCCACAAGCTCAAGCAAGGGAGCTCCCAGCCCCCCAGAGGTGCACCAGGTGTGCACAACAAAACATGCATGCTCAAGGCTGGAATGTAACAAGGCAAAAGGACCTGACTTTGGCAATGATACCTGTCTGTGGTACATCCGAGGTTCTCATATCAAAACCGCCTTTGTCGCCGTGCGCTTCAGGCACAGCATTCACACTGAAGCTTTGAGTACACTTGCCGGCTCTTTGCGAACCCTGTGCAGTGTTCCCGGGAGATGTTCGCAAGTCTCTCTGCATGGCACGATCGGTTGTCAATGTGAATCTTAACTCTTCTACATCGCTGAGAAAGCTGCGCCTCTGCTACATAAACTTTACAGTAAACATAACATAGACTAGTCGGCACATGGTACAGTATGCATTGCAATATGCAGGTGAATAAGGTTGACCAGGTTGTCAATTGAATAGTTGACACGCTATCCATGCCAGCGAGAGTGAATCATCTAGCCGCTTGAGACTTGCATGAGCCTTCAGATCTGTCCACACCATCAGTCATCTTTGGCCAGCGTCTCAGACAAACCACCATTCTCCTGCTAAACTCATCATCCACCGCTGTACTGTATCATATCCTACACCCACATCCAACCTAGATTTGGATCGAAAAGCAAGGCTTGTCAACTTTCAGCCGGGGAGGCCCAACTTCGGGTTCATGGTGAGATAAATCAGTCACGTGCCGTGTTGCACAACTCATGATGCAAGCTCGCTGCGTCCTGCGGTGCTGAAGTAGTATCCCCATCCTTGGTGTCCTGAAGCGGTTGGTATGCAGGAATGTGAGGCACTTCAGCTGAGAAACCAACTAAGTGGCTAGGTTGCTGGTCGTTGGTAAGCTGCTCTGGAGCAATTTTGGTGCCAACTCCTGGGTCCCTTGTCTTCAGCCGTTAGGATCATTAGCACACCCCTCTTTATGAATTGTGTCCTGATATCTCGTCGGACCGTTTATTCAGTTTCAAGCTGATCCTGGTCCTAAACTGCTAATTACGCATGTTTGCAGGCACAAGCAGCAACAGTTTGGAAACAAAAGCATGTACACTTTCAAGTGGCGATCCACATGCTAGCTGCTGCTAGCAAAGCCATTTGTGTCAATGAGCCCCTTGCACCTTACATACCCTTTCGTGCCTCCGTCTTCTTCCTTGATGGCGAGTCTGACCTTCCCACGCACTCTCTTGCTCAGCAATATTATGACGAGGTATGTCTCCATAGTCTATAGCTGAGGAACTTCTTACAAAACCTCACACTGCACTTGAACCACCAAGTCTTCTTGCTTCAAAATTCGAACAGCTTGCGATACAAAGAATTGAACCTTCCTCACGTGTTAACACTAGAAATGAGAGACAAAAACTGAAACCACCCACTGCAGCTTAGAACAGGTCTTGTCATGAGTTACCTTTCTTCCGTTTAGGTTGCTTCAAGGATTGAGTGCGCTATCACTCAGCATGTTCAAGGCAAAAGCACCCCCGCGCTGTCGTACAAATTGCGACATGGCCTTGCTTTGGTGCCATATTCCCGCAACCTCCGTAGCTGATAGGCTTCTTGCGATTGAAATTGCAAACTTGATCAGTTGACCCACTGAAGCACACCATGGGCTCTGTCGGAGCTGGACATCAAATCAACAGCAACAGTGGGCTCAGTGCCGCAGCAACCTCCTACACCCACATGATGCACCCAAGGGGCTTCTTTCGCTGTGGACTGGCTTGCTCTCCTTCAGGTCCTGGAAGCTCAATGCATTTCGAATCATTCCGCACGCGAAAATTCAGGTGCACAGGCCTTTTGGTGGGGAAGGCGTCCCGCTACTTCTGCAGAAAAGCCTCAGTCTATGCGGAGGCAAAAATGCCGCTCAACAGCAAAGCTTCAGTCTCTGCATCCCAGTGGCAGGAGGCTACTGATGAGCAACACCTGTGAGTGGTCCAGTCTTGCGATTGTCTAACGTTTATATATATATAAAGACATATTCAGCTTTTCCATTGTTCTTGAGAGAACACATTCTACGCAAAATCAAAAGCCAGTTCCGGAATCAAGGCGTTTGTACCGAAATGAAAGGCAATACACCTCCAACTGCCGCTAACTCTTCTCCAAGCAAATGAACGGGTGCCCTGTCATATCACCCCGGCAGGAAGCAAAAAACTGAACACGTTTCATCTGACAAACCGCCATCCAAGCACCACAATGGTGATCAACACTGGAACAGGATTGTTGAAGACCTCGGCTGCGGCTAAACTCTGCTTTGAAGACTGCAGGGGTTCCCTCTGGCACATCAGCTGATCATCCACTCGTAAGTGCGCACGAACAGGTGCAAAACAACAAGATATGTAGAATAAATAGCTTTGGGCCAGGTCTTTGAGCATCATTCTTCATGGCTTTGCACAACAGGCGGCTTAAAGAGTGGATAAGGATAAGCCGTGTACTGCATGTGTGTGCATGTGTTATTTACGAGTTACTGGGAGCTTCTCTAAGCAATAGCATGAAGAAATCGCCATCTTTGCTTGATAAGGGGCCCAATCCAAGTACTGGCTGAAAAGGCTCTCGCTGCTTGCAGACTTGTCCTGCCAAAACGGCTGAGACTCAAAATGTCCGAAAAGCAAAAAAGTCTGCCTAAATCTGCTCAAAACAGTATATAATCCTACGCAGGCCGAATTGTGTACACCAAAGGGCCAACTCTGAGCATGCTTGTCATCAAGCTATATAGCTCCCGGTGGCCTGTTTTACCTCGATCTCGCTGCGAGGCTTAAAGGTCGCTTCACCAAATTCTACGACCTCCAAAACGGGGAGCCAGACAAAAAAAGAATCCGCAACCCAAAAAACGAGCGGAAATTGAAAAAATAAAAAACATGAAAACAGCGGTCTCGCCGTCTCGCAAATGCAAGGCGAGAAAAGAGAATAGAGAAAGAGAACAGATCTTTGGCTTCAGTACCTTCTCTCTTCGCAAACGCGTTCCAATCTTCAGCACCTTCTCAGGGTTCTTATCCACGACAATGTTGTCGAAAATTATTCCTTTGTCCATAGTCCAAATGTCGATGCCAATGGAATCAATGGTCGGAATCTTGTATGGGCTCTCATCCACAAAGTACTCCGGGTTGGCAATTTGCCTGTCCAAAATCTGCAAACCGATCATGAACTAGTTGCAATCTTGCTTTGCCAATTGTGGAGAAACTTCCCACCTGGGCTTCCATTCGCCAATGTATGCAGGGTTGTCAATCTTTGGGGCATACCACTTGCCTTTATAGGCTGGATTGTTGATCTTCGGAGCCTGGCGATACAGGGAGCGAGAAACTTATGAAGTGTACCGGAGGCTTCCAAGTAAGCTGAAAGTTTGGCCAGCCAGTCTGCTGCCCTAGGCCCTGCAGAACTTGCAATGAACTTGCAATTGTGCCTCCCACTTTCCGCATCCAACAGTGCACTTGGGGTTTTCAATGACAGGGGCTTCCCACTCACCTCAGTCAGCCGGCCAAACTGCTTAATTACTTACTCAGTCGGATTGAAGCTCCTGAGCCCAGTGAGGTCTAGCGACCGTCCTCTTCATCATCCCAATCATCTGGCCTGGCCCAGTGAGGTCATTGAAACTCTCGCTGTGGCCAGGGATGAAGACCGGTGAGGACGAGACTTGCCAGGGAAAAGAAGAATCATCAAACAATTCGTGTAGATACAGGTAAACGACCGATAACTACCAACAAGTCGCACCTGGTTTTCCTTGAGCCAAACGGTAGTCAAGTGAGACATGTATACGACATCCTAGCGTGAAACAACAATTCGCAAAGTGCTTGGTCCAAAAAATGGTGGAAACACCGGAATGCAATTGGTCAGGTGCAAACACCTTCGAGGGGCGCACCTTTTGGACTTGGGATCCGCCATCTTCAAAGGCTCGTCTTCCAACCATCCCGAGGGCATTGAAGCTGAGGGGTCTGGGATCATGAAAGGTGCGTCTTCATCCCAGTCATCCTGAGCGACCAGAGTCATCTTCACGCGTACGTCTATTCCAACTGCAGCCTTTTGCACATCGAAGAGCATCTCATGAGAACGGACGCTCTTGCTTGGCGGTTCTTGATACCGGGTCCCTTGGCACTTGCCTACAAAATTCAGACCACAAGCCATCGAGCAAAGCGGCAGGCTTTGAGGGCTCTGGGTCATCCATCTTGGCGTTGTCCACCCAGTCAGCTGGCTTGCTGTCGGTGGGATCATCGATCTCCTCGCGTGCTTCAAACGCTTGAGGCATGCCACGGGAGCATGTGAGAAGGACATGCACACGCACACATACACGCACACAAACGAGAAGTGTTCAAAACCTTGTCTAATCAATCTGACCTTGTCTCAAGGGCCAGAAACAAGCTTCCAGACCAAGGCCCCACGACCACTCTGCACCCCACCCATTGCACCTGTGGCGGGTTCACAGGTGGCTGCATATCCTGGAGCAAAGATCCACTGAAGGTCTTCTCGCCGTCAATGCGAACCTCTACCGTATTGTCAGGACGAATCAGGAGGCCTGGCGCAGGAGGAGAGGTTTTGATGGCGGGATTCATGGCCGCAGAAGAGGAAGTGCAAGATAGGAGAGCGGTTTTGAGCACAAATATCAAACACATGAAGAAGCAGCGCTAACTCGGATGACAACTAAAAGAGTGCGAGGCCCCAACAAGAGGGAGGAGCTCCCGGTCTATTTGCGATTGCTTTCATCATTTCATCTGAGTGGCTGTAGAGGTGTGTTCGGCGCTCGCTGGGCACGCTTGGTGGCGTTGAGAGGTGCTTTTCTTCCCAAAGACCAGTGACAGGACTCCTTACTCCAAATGCAGTCAGGTCCAAAAACGGCGGACAGCCGCTACTGTATCCAATGTATCCTGTGTAAGTCGCGCATGGCAACAGAAAAGATCACAAGAACAGCCACATCACCATTCCACAATCCCAATTCCGTCATCCCTCATATACTTTCATTGGGCAGACCTGTGCTTGAGGGCACCCCCCAGCAGCTAAGGCTCGGGCTTGTGCTGAAGGATGAAATGCACCTTGTTCGTTGCACCACATCTGTCAGGGCCAAACATGATGACATAGCCTTGGTTGTCAGCCAAAACATACGCATAACCGTGAAGAGTGCTCCATCAAATCCGGTGCAGGGGCCACACTGACTATTCCGGCCCTAGTCTAGTCGCATGAAAATGGTATTTGCTCTACCGATCAACACCTGCACTGACTGCAGCTGTGCTGCGCGTGTCCGCATTAAACTCTTCCGAGCTTTTGCCTGCTGGCTCAGCGCTTCCAACTCATCTAAATCCCCACAAGAGTATCTAGGAGTTGTTGCATAAGGCCATAAGATCACAAGGCATTCAACCCCGGGTGTGGAGATATGTGTGTCTCCAAGTATAGATCTATGAAAGTTTATGATATATATTATCTGACTGTACTCACTGGTACTGTTAGTGGTGACTGGCGCATCATGTTTCAATACCAGGCTTGCTGATTGGATTGAGACTGTCCTCACTGGTACTGTTACTGGTGAATACCAAGCTTGCTGATTGGATTGAGCGGAGACTGGCCAAAAGCCTGAAGTTACCCATATACAGTAAGAAAGAACCCAAGGGATCTACAGTATATATAACTCAGGGCATAAATACATGTATGATCATGTATGGACTGAGCTGCCTTCACTGTTGAAAAGCTTGATGTAGGAGCCACCACACCTGAACATCCCGACGGTGCACATGTACGCTACAAAGGGAGTGCGCGCGCCCGCACTATGTGTGTGTGTGTGTGTCCCACCCTGGACAAAGGGTTTTCCACCACCATTTCTCC